CATACATACATACATACATACATACATACATACATACATACATACATACATACATATATATATATGTATATATATATACATATATAAATGCTAGCTTTATGTAAATGCATATATATCCAAATTTCATAAAAAATCATTAAGTTACATATACAATATGATTTAGAGAAACACCATTTAAAAAAAAACTAATATATAAAAATATACAGTTTCAGTCTAGTTACTTTTTATTGTGCAAAAAAAATTGGAATTAATTTCAAGGACAGAAAACTTACCGGAAATTTGGTGCACTTGTAAGCTCAAGAGCTAGGCAGGCAATATTCACACCCATGTATGAGAGCAAGAAAAAAATAGATGTGAGCTTGGCGATACGATTCATTGCGCCAATAAAAAACACCAGCTTAAAAATATATATGCATTAAAAGTTAAAAATCCCAGATAAAGAAAAAAATTAATTTCCAAACTTTAGATATTTAAAAAAAAATTTCTTCTTTTCATCATTCAAAACTCTTAATAAAATAACATAAAAAACTATTCCCTAAAAAAATTTTTTTTGGAATTAATTTTAAAATTTTTTTGAAAAAAGACAGACTTTGAAAGACCATTTCAAAATTAGAAAAAACATATTGAAAAATACGAAAATTGCAAAATAATTTACCACTGAGGAAAAGGGCAGAAAAACTCAGAAAATCTAAAAAACTTATAAAAAGTTCTATAAAAAAGGGGGAAAAATGTACCACAACGCATATCCATGAGATGATCACCGATGCAACGGGATTTCCAGCACCAATTTCAACTTTTGCCGGATGAAGTAAGAAACCAAAAAGTTTATCGTGCGCAACACGATTCAGCACACGTGATGCACCGATCATATTACTCATCGAGGAGAAGAATGTTGTTGAAAAAATACCAATAAGTATGAACAACGGTGAAATGTTTACATTCATCATAACCTGTAAAAAATATTAAATTTCGAAAAAAATTTGCAATAAATTTGATAAATCCATCAAAAATAAAGTCTATTTTTTGGGGAAATCGCTAAAGAAACGAATGTCAGGGTTGCCAGAAGCACAGGTGAAGCCAGGACGGATTCATAACAAAAAAAAACTAGGATGGATTCCCTTTCTAAAAAATTTTGTCTTTTTAAAAATTTCGTATTTAAAAAAAAAAAAAAACAGCTGTGGAGAATAAGTGCGCAAAAAATCTCACATCGGGTCAGGGGACAGTGACGACGATGAGCTATTTCCAAGTACCTCCTACGCTTAGCTAGAAGTAGAAGAATAGAAGGATTTCACTTGAATGTCATGTGTTTGAAGACATTTTATGACGCAGCCTGTGT